AAACTCATCTCTAACAGAACGCTAGATTTTTAATTGTCCATCCCTCTGATTACTGACTACACTGGAAGAACGATCTAGAAATAAGTAAAAAATATCTTAAATTACCCTTAATTTGAGTGGGTAAATGAGATAGTTTGCCAATGTAATGGGTATTTTTATTCTTAAAATAAGATAATTAGATAATATGCAGTTGAAATAAGACAATGCAGTTGTCTTTTCTTATTTTAAGTGTAAATTGTCTTGTTCCAATGGCAAAATGTTTCTTTTACTTCCTTAATCCAAGAAGAAATACACTTATTTTAAGAAAAAAATGACAGCTGATTTCTTCGTGCATTTCTAGAAAAAGTTACCTTAATTTACCTATCCATTCCCAACAGGTTCAACTGGACTAGAGATTTTCTTCTTTCTCTCGATTTAACCAATTTTCTGCTTTGTGACTTTCTTTAAAAAAAAAAAAAAAATCATGTAAATATTTGACCTTAAACACAGCATGCTGAGCTAAAGTATTTAGATAATGGAGATTTCTTTTAAATTCTATAGGTGCTGTTTGACAGCCCAGGGTGTTGATGCAGCGATGTGTTTTCATTTTGAATTAGTAAAAAAAAAAAAAAAAAAGAGTAGTTCTGCTGAAGCAAGTATTTAAAAAGTCAATGACACTTTGTTTTGGTCATAGCAGCTGAACTTGGAACTGAACACCTTCAAGTTATCAACACAAGTTGGGGTCACCCAGTTTTCCTTGGAGGAGGAATATGGGAATATGTGTCATTGAAGAAACACAGCTGTTCCTACACACACACTCATATGCACATGTTTGCACGTATGCAGCACTCTGCATGCACACACTCACACTTTTTCCTCGTCCAGCTGGGGTGTTAATTTCACCCCATGGCTGTGTGAGTGTTGACCCCAAACTCTTGCAACCTTGTGAAGTGAGGAATTCTTAAAGCCCGAGGCTGTAATGTGCAGTTTCCTGTAGAGGAAGACTGCATTCCTCTGACTTGTCCTGTCCTTCTCTGCTCTCTCCCTATAAACTTCAGGGTTTTGAGGGTGTCTGTCCATAACTTGGAAGGCATTCTGACCAGACATTGAGCTCTTTCTAAGCACAGGTCTTCGTCCCTTTTTCAGCATAGTTTTTCATTTTCTAGTACACCTAGAGGCAGGTTAAAAGTGGAAGTGCTTCCTTCGTTTTTGAGTTTTATCTCTTCCACCAAGCCTGAGGCTAACAATGTCGTTGACTGCATCAGACAAGCTGACTTGTTAGTGCACTGTCAGTGCACATCAGCTCTTAATCAGTTCCATACAGCTTCTTTGAAGGCAGTTGCTAGTGTAACGTAGCTGTGTAGCCGGCCTAGCACATGTCGCTTCAGTTAGGCTCGGCCTGCTATTAATGATGAGTATAATAAACATGCTTTCAGACAGGATCAGATGAGAATGCTGTTTGGGTCCAGAAAAAAAGAAATCAAGTGTGTTTTCCTAATGCCCCAAGACATGGCCCCCTTTCTCCCTATTCCATTGGTCTGACTGGGTGGTCCATCCCTGCAGAACAGGCATGTTTATGTTCAACTTTAATGCCATTACAATAGAGTAAAAACATTCAGTCTGTGCCTGTTGTTGCAGGACTTGAGCCGAATTGTTAAATTGGATTAAGGCATAATAAAATGTTACAGATTTTTCACACAGCAAAACTTTAACTGGACATTTTTTCATGTTTTGCGTGTTTGAATGTGTGTTCAAGAGGACTGGCTGAAGCTTTCAGTAAGTGTTTAGTCTTTGATGATGGAAGGACACAAATCCTCTGCTCACATATCTGGCAAACACTAAAGAGAAAGTTGTGCAAGGACAAGCGCTGTATTAAAATGACTCCTACACTGCTTCATGTGTGGCCATTTTGAGAATTTTATTTAATTGTTTTGTCTTTCTGTAATTCTTTCCTGTGGCTTTTAAAGCAATAGAGCAGTTGGTGTTGTTACTTAGTTTGACCTGAAACTACTAACATTTCCTGTGTTTTGGCTCAGTTAGGGTTATACTGATTTCTAGTTGCTAAATGCCATCATAACAAAAGAATTGATATTTTATACAATCATTTTTGTAAGTTCTTCAACGTTGAAAGTTTATACAAAGATTACTTTGCCTTCTATAAGATATGGGAAAATGTATGTTGCAATGGGTTTCTAAGCTCCTTTTTTGTTAATTAATTATATTTTTTTGTATGTTTTGGTGGCACCAGTGGCCTTTAGAAAAGGGGGCGGAAAGAGAGTGAGGAAGACATACAGCAAAGGTCCCTAGGTCATGATTTGAATCTGAGATGGTTACTGCCTCTGTATATGGTTTATAAGGTCTCTAGGTTGCACACATAGTGTGAAAAGTAACCCCAAATATCAAGTCATTAATGACTATACAGCCCCTGTAGCCCCTTTTGGAATGAAAGCCCCAGGATTTGTTTTACAAGGGCAAAATAGGGGCCATCAGGATTTGTTTGCCTACTGTTTCCATTACTCTAAAAGGGTGTGGAACATTTATGTAAATCCACTAATGATGTTTAGGGGAGTTTGAAAGTTGTTTAGTGCATGGCGGTAAGAAGAAATCCTTTAGGAAGCCCTTTGTTCACAAAACACCATGGTGAGTTGCAGCTGACTTTATTCTATTTCACATAGTGAAAATAAATGTGTTGATTTTTTTTTTTCTTACCTGAAAAACATATTGCGGATGATAACCTTTATAAAGAGTTATAAGGTTCATACATTTTTCCTTAACTTTGCACTGGGTGCAGCACGTACGGAAATAATTGGATCCAATATACTGCTACGCTACTGTGGCATAACTTAGACCCAACTCAATTCTTTCAACAAATGTTTCATACAAGTTATAATTTAAAAAGTAAACTCTACCAAATACTATGGATAAGTATTTGGTAGTGTCTTGAGATGACATGTGTTGTGAATTGGCGCTATATAAATAGACTGAATTGAATTGAACTGAATAGATATCTATGTTAGTGTTTGATAAAGAAAAAACGTATACAAACTCTTAGAAGGTTTTTTTTTCTAAGAATTAACTTTTTTTACATTTATTTTCTAAAACACAGTAATATAATGGTTAGTTAAAAATAATGATGGAAAATTTTGCAACAGAAACTCATTTGTTTGCCAGATTTGTGTGTTTGTGTGTGTGTGTGTCTGTGTGTGTGTGTGTGTGTACGCTTTTATATTTGAAGTGAAATAATTCTTTCAGCATTTAGCATTAGCATTTACTGTGCTTATGCCTATGTTTTTCATGTTAAAGACAGATCTAAAGACTTTCCGCTGACTTGATCAGTGGGGTGGGCCCTGAGATGCACACGGCTTAATAGAGTAGAGTTGAAGTTATTCTGCTGGACTCAAGCTGACAACATTCTAGTGAGGCTTTATTATATGAGGAATAGATGCTGAATTGTGATGTTTGAAGAAATCATGCTGCTCTTAATTGAAGAGCTAAATACTTAAGAACCTAGTTCTAGACCTACAGTGTGCTGTGGATCATATTTAGTGCATTTATTTCATGACAGTTATATATATTCGGTCTTACAGCAGTGCTCCGTGCTTCAGGTGTCTTTAAAAATGTCAAGGAGACAAAAAGAGACACTTAGTGGATGTGGAGATTATGGTCACTTTTGTACAGCTTCACTTATAGTAATGTTTATCTTTCTCTAGGCAGCTGTCTGTGGGGCATAGACAGTGTATCCATTAGCCATTTTATAAGGTACGCTTGTGTAGTATCAGGCAGTGCCTTCTTATGTCCTTAAATTTGCTATGACAGTCTTTGGCATAGTGATGGAAAATTCACTGACTTTGGCACAGTTCAACATAAGGGTGTGCAAAATAATCGTCAAATCGATGCATCGTGATTCTAATTTTTGTGATCTACTGAATCGATTCTTGAAGGCAAGAATCGATTATAAAAAAAAAAATGAACAAATAAAATACATTAATGGTTGGCGCACATCAATCAAACCAAGTGAAATACAACTTCCAGTCCAGCAGATGTCGCTGCTGATGTGTTGATGCCTGCTGCTTTGTGTCACAAGCATGTCCGGCTGCAATATTTCAAGTAACGTGATGCATCGTGATAGAATCGCATCGTGGCATGTGAATGGTGATTCGAATCGAATCGTGACTTCTTTGCCAATACCCACCCCTAGTTCAACATGGCATTGCGCAGACTCTGCATGTTTGTTGATTACACATCCATGATGTGTCGACTACACTATCCTAAGGTGCACTATCAGATGTGGTGGCTGTGAAGTATATGATGGTGCACTAAACCCAATGTCCGTTTAAGATGCCTTGAATATGGAACATGGTGCATCTTGTAGTTATCAGCAGATTTGTACGCTATGCTTATGAAGACGTGGGCATCAACAATACCCAGGTCGGCTGTTATGGGTTTGATGACAACTGTTTGATAATAAGGTGCCCAAAGTTTGTAAAGTCTCACCAACAATTGTATTTGAGACTTTTTTCAAGTTGTTATTTTCCATTTTTTACAAGACTGTGCAAAATTTAGCCTCAGTTTCCTGCCCCAAGCTAACAACCTTTACACCTTGTAAGATCTAGTGCTGCAGTAGCTTTAATCTTCTTTAAGGTTAGATATGTTGTGTATTCAGAGATGCCATTCTGCATATGTTTAGTTATGTCAATTGTTTATTTGACATATTTCTGCCTTTCTATCATCTCAAACCAATCTGAAAATTCTCCTTGACTTAAAAGAAGCTTTTTTAACAGGGTATTTTGTTTTTTTAGTTTTTCCTAACCATTCAGTTGGATCAATAAGCAGGATTCATAGTTTTAACAAGTTTGGGATTGCCAGACAGCTGAACCTTTTTAGCTTACTTATTTTGCAGTAGTCAACCACTATCAACTAACTACTGCAACTATAATCTTGGATTTAATTAGCTGGATGATTAGATATTTCAACACTGGGATGAAAATCTTGACCTGATGAATACATTCTGCTTTGTCCAGTTGGTGGGCGTGTTAACCAGGAACTGAAGTACACACGGCAGAAGATGGGGGAGGAGGCCATGTTTAACCCTCAGCTGATGATCCAGACGCCGCGGGAGGAGGGAGCCAACATCCTAACTGTGGAGGCCCTTCTGCAGCACCTGGAGTCAGCTCTCCGAGCCAGCAGAGTTCATGTTTACCTTTATAATAGGTAACGCTCAGTTATTGTTCTAATCTCATATGTTGGTAGTAGGGACGTGGCACAACCTTTGTTCATAAAACTCAGAAGTTTTTTTAATTCAAAGTAGAGTCTGCCATGCAAAAATTATATTGCTGTATGTTTTTAAGTTACAAGGAGACTAAATTCTGAAAGCCTTAGCTTTCAGCTTACCCCCACCATTATGTATAAATGAGCCTTATTTTGAAATAGGACTGGGCAGTAAATCAATATGAATATATGCAGGGAAATACATCTGGTCAATAACAATAGAATATTTTCATTATTTCCACTGAACTCTAAATCAGAACCACATGGTTTTCTGGGGCATATAGGAAGAGGAAAGGATTTACCCTCTCAACATCTCACAACCAAACTGAGATCTAAGAAAAGTTGGTAGCAGGTCTAAATGATTTTTTTATCCGGTAAAGGTTGCTTTATATAGGGTTTGTGTAAACAAAATAAAATCATCAAATAAAATCTGTCTAAAAAAAAATCTAAAATAATTATTGATATCAACTGTTATATGCAATTTTCATCAAAAAAGGGCCTTGTCAGGGAAACCTGATAGCATGTAGTGTGGATCACTCATCAATAGAAATATTACCAGTTTTTTGTTTGTTTGTTTGTTTGTTTCCAACTAGATGTTCCAACTAGACTAGATTTTAAAGGCCTTTGAAATGGAATATTGTCTGCTTCCAGTCACTAGTTAATTTCTTGGTTTATATGTCTTACCTGTATTAAGGCCACCCTGGATTTAAACAAACAATAAAAAACCAAATAGGTGGGCTATTTAAGTCAGGAGTAGAACAGTGTTTGCTGTTTTAAATTCTTTAAAGCACAGTTCTGTGAAACCTTTATTTGCTCAATCATAAAAATTGGGATACTTCATTTTTACACCCCATTGCTAAATTCTTGATATTAATTGAACCCATGTATCATCTCTTCTGAGCTGAATGTATTGTATAACCCTTATGTACTTTTTTTTTCTCAGACAATGGACATTGGAACACTTATGCTACAAATCAGGAGAATTAGTCACAGAAACAAATTATATCATGAATCAGGTGAGACGATTAATGCCGTTTTTTTATCTTTTACTACGCAGCTCTTGTTTCAATCCATGTTATTAAGTTATCGTCTTATTTGAATCCTACTTTTAGATAATAGAAAATCTTCATCCCTGCCTCATCATCACCCCTTTGGACTGTTTTTGGGAAGGAGCTAAACTCCACTCTGGAATGGTCTATCTCCCGTAAGTACAAGGATCACTCATTTTAGGAAATCTCAGCACTGCATTGCAGTATATAATGGTACAATGGCTGTTGTACATGCAGGTACATAAAGGGCTGATACAAATGATTAAGCACAAACAGTGTTTTTTCTTTTCTTTTTTTTTGCCAGGTCAGTTGGCAAACTGTTCTAAACTTTGTCTTGGGACATCAGTGAAAACTGAGCTCATATACACTGTTTTTTAGTTTTAGCGTTGCATAAACTGCACCGTAACGCTTTCTCTGCATCTTGTATTCACCTCTTAGAAGAGGCTGCTTTGACACACTCAACCTATCCAAAGAGACAACAGAGGACCAAGTGTGTGTTTGGATGTGTGTTCTGAACTCATCCCCTCTGAAGGCTCTATTGTAGTGGTCTCTGGCATGCGTATCTCTGGCAATGGTCTCTCAAGCACTGGGCCTCCCGCCATTGTCTGGCTGTTCTTTTGCTAATAGCCTGCTGCTACAGTAATACCCAGCAGACATTTACCTCTGCATGCAGTAAGTGTGCGGCTCTGCGATGGTGCATCCATGTGGGTTGTTAATTTGTGAAAGTGTACCAGTTTGGGATGCCCTCACTAGTGGATGTGTAAATCACTGAGTGTGTCTTTCCTATTGATATAAGATAGTAAATAGGGGTTTTTACTATGTTCTGGTTGGGAGGTTGGGAATAATAACCCAAGCCTGGTTAAGCATGTACAATGTAGCCTGAATGAGCAATTCACCAAAAAGAGAGATTGGAATGTTAGGAAAGGAGAAACAAGGGAGGGAACGGGAAATTATTTGTTGCACGATAGGAAACCGTCCACTTGCACGGAAATTATGTACTGCACTCCAAAGTTTTAACTACTGCTCTAAAGTCGCATTTTCATTTAGTTTGCCACACCATTTGAAAAAAAAAAAAAAAAATAATAAAAATAAATTATATATATATATATATATATATATATAAAATACCTTTTTCTCATTTATCATACTATTTTGTAAGTTTCCTGTATACAGTGGTATAAAAAGAAAAGCTAACCTTTGTGTTTAAACTTTGCAGAGGTGAGAACCCAAAGCAATGGACCAATTTTGACCCAAAGGAGTTCCTCGAAAAGTTACGAAAAGCAAACATTCCTGTGGATACCTTTGAGGACATGTTGGAAAAGGCGGGCGTTGGGCACGGCTACATGGATAGACCTTGTCTTAACCCCGCTGACCCCGACTGCCCCAACACTGCACCCAATAAGAACTCAACTAAGGTATGTACTCAACTACTCAGCTTTTTGGAAAGAGACGTTTGAAACATTGTACATTGGAGATGCACCATTGGAAACTGTTGGCTGATTTCTGTTGGCATTTTTAGAACGTTTTAACATTAACCTATTATTTGCTAGTTAGAAATGAAAAGACGTAGCAATTTTTGGTAAAGTGATTGCACTGCAGCTAAGCCCTAACAACAAAAACACCTTTGGCTTGGGAAGTTTGTCTTGAAGGCAGACAACTTGAGGTGAAAATGAAGTCAGAACAAAGATTCTAAAGGTTCATTCGCATCGAATGCGAACCAAAAAAAAATGGAGAGCATGATAAACAAAATATATGTAAAGTTGCAGTCAGGAGCGAATCGACAATCAGTGACGAAAGGGTCATGTTTCAAGTGTGCGAATAGAGTGAAGTGACACAGGGATATTTGATTGGAAGATGCGCAAATAGACCAAAGCAAAATTTTGCTTCTGTTGAACAATCTGTAAAATTTAGCGACTGGCTAGCTCATGTGATAAATCAGCCATCCTGCAAACAGGAAGCCTGGGTTGGTATCCCATTTGGGGGGAATGCGCTGCCACTGCCGAAAGCCTTCATGCCAATGTCTGCTTTAGGCGCTTGGCGGTCCAGTGGTCAGGGCATTGCGCTTGGAATCCGTCTGAGTTCAAGCCACACTCGGACTGCCGCTCTGGCTCCCTGGGTAAGACCCTTAACCCCCGCACTGCTCCCCAAGGGGAGGGTTTCAATGCAGAGAGTTAATTTCCTCTGTACTTGTGACAGTGTAATGACAATAAAACGCTGGGAAAAAAATACGTCATATTAACCAATCAGGGATTGAATGTGGTTGTATTATAGGGTAATTTAGCGAAGTGGAGGCAAAGTCTTTTTCATTTAAGAAACTCACTAGATAAGTGGTAACGCTGGTCCTCGAGTACCACTGTCCTGCAGCTTTTGCATGCATCCCTTCTTCAGCAAACCTGAAAAAATACTGTAAATAGTTAATTACCAGGCCTCTGCTTAACTTACTAAGCTGACAAAGTAACGTGGCCTTTTGTTTCTGGCGTGTTGGAGCAGGGATGCATGCAACAGCAGCAAGATAGTGGCAACCGATGGCAGACGTTGCCTATTACTGATGTAGAGGGTGATCCGTCCTCAGAGGTGTGACACAGGCCCTTATACTGGGTCCTGGACGGATGTTTGCAATGGTGCATTACTATTCAATGTGTCAAGCATAAACCAGTCAACAAGAAACAGACACTGTATTATAAGCAGGTATGTCAGTCCTTTATTCAGGTTGCTGTAACAGAGAGATCCATCTGGTGGGTGCAGAAGTTTTTTTCTGTTTTGACTCTTCATACTTTTGCATTTTTTTTAGACCTGTCTTTTTTGACCCCTTTTAATAGTTTCTGCAAAGTCGTAAAACTCCACAGTTTGCACATTAAAATGTTCTAGATATCTTAAGGTTTCAATAACTTTTTCTTCTGTTTTACAAATACATGGACGGCACTCTTTGTTCTGTGATTTGCAGTCGGGCTGAGCATGTTGGATATTATTATTTAAAATGTGAAAAGAATGTATAAACTATAATGCTTTCATAAAGAGTCTATTTCTGAACCTGCATAAAAATTCTGTTCCTGAAACTGATTCTTTTAAGTTTAGATATCAAATTTAAACTCAATCTCAATCTGTTGCATTCAGTTTTCAGAAATAAAATCTGATTTTTACATTTTTCTCCAGACCTGTTGCTAGCTGATATTACTGTGCATTTTTACGGTTCAATATTGAGTTTTAATTTTATACCCACTGCTTTCCAATAAAAACAGCCTTTCAGTGTGGCGAGGATTCTGAGTGGTGGTTGCTATGGCCTGTCCAGGAAGTACATGCACTGGCAGGAGGAACTCATTGTGGGGGGCACCATAAAGAACGGCAGCGGCCCCCTCCTCAGGTAACCTTCTAATGTTAATATGTAGAGCGCTTCATAAGAACACCGCAGGGATTCTGACGAGGCTTATCCTGGAGACGCAGAATGTTTTTTGTTCTCTTACGCTTTCTCAGTATGCATGTGTGCTGTATATCATAAATCTTGCAATCATTAGCAGATTCCAGTGAAATCCTAAGAGCTCCAGCTGTTGCTGCTCTGCTTGGACACTACGCTCTCACTGACTCTGTGCACACACACACAGGCCAGAGTGATCTATTGCTCAGCTAGTCTATTCAAATATACAGCAATTTGGGGTACATGCACAAGCACCAGGTCAAAGCTGATGCAATTTGTCATGTGCATTCATCCTTCACGTTAATGACCAAGACACAACAGAAAACAAAAGTCACAAAAAAATTGAATCTTATTAGCAATAACTGTGCTATGTTACTGTTAAAGAAATTACATATTGAGTGTGTGCAGAGTGCGTACCTATATACTAAACTGTGGTAATGACACAATTACTTATGAAGAAATGCACATACACCTTGTTTGCAGAGTACAGTGGGATGCATTCTTGGTGTTTTGTGGTTGTGTTTTCATGGTGAGGTTGGATCATTACAGTGGCGCTGCGTTTATTCACATTGTGTGTGTGTGTGTGTGTTTTTGCTGCTGGCCCCCAGGTTTTTAGATCTTGTTTTCAAACTGCCACCATTACCGTTATTATCACAATACTACAAAGATCACATTCATAAAGGCAATGACAGGCTAATGATGCTGCTTTGTTTTGTTGCGTTTCGATGATGTGAAAATACACACACTGACTCGAGCACTCCTCACAAGTTGCTCCCTAGTCAAGTCTCACTTGTTAATAACTAATCACTTACACTACTTTATTGGCTTGCTAATGTGCTCGTTTAGGCTGTGTACTATTCGTTATGTTTGATATCATGGCTCATAAAAGGAAAAAAAATAGTCCAGTCAAAGTTTCCCGAAATACACGACTCCACCTCCTGCTTGGGGATTGATGATTTTTAGTTTAGATTAAAGCTAACAGCAGATTGTTGTTTTAAAAACATCTCCTCTATATATATATATATATATATATATATATATATATATATATATATATATATATATATATATATATATATATATATATATANTTTTTTCTTTTTTTTTTCTTCCACATGCAAAGTTTAGGGAGTAGTTCATGTGTTTCTTTAACCCTGCACCTGATACTCTGACTTTCATTCAGCTTTGTTTTGTGTCCTTCATCCTTTGATTCTTCCTCTTCTGTGTGTGCACTGCAGTGCCCAGGCTTTACAGACCATGTTTCAGCTGATGACACCAAAGCAGATGTTCGATCACTTTCGGGACTGGGAAGAGGTTTCCCACATCAACTGGAACGAAGAAAAGGCTGCAGCTATACTAGAAGCCTGGCAGAGGAAATACTCTGAGGTGAGGGCTAACGGCTAAAATACGGCGGGGAGAAATCCACCTTAAATCCTCTGCAACCGCATATTACATCACAGGCCGGAAACAGTTGTACATGAAAAAGGACTCATCTAGAGTCTGAGCCCCTGATAGATAGTCGAACCTCTGCTGGTGTGTGGTAGAAGGGATGAAGCTTCTCACTGCTCAGTGTAGAGAAGCAACAGAATAAAAGAGGCGTTTGTGTCTGGAATACATTAAGAGCGTGCTGGATATCTCTCTTTTACACACACACATATGCAACTATTCAGAATTCACACACAATCACTTTCCCAGCTGTGGCCCCATTGGTGGCTCATGTGTGACATCATCGGGTCTCTGTTTTTTGGGGGCCCAACTCTGTTCCACATGGCCCCATACACGTGTGTATCTGTGTGGTGTTGATCTTTTAAATAAGGAATAATTGACTTTAAAATGAATCAAAGAGTTGAAAAGAGGTGGCAGACGTTGTTACTATGTAATATGAATATTTTGGCTCGTCTGCAAAAACATTCACACATTTCGGCATGTGCAAGTTTACATGTGGGTGTTATAGTGTGTCTTACACAACAGATTTAATGCTTCCCTTTAAACTGTAACTGGAATGTGTCTGTCTTTAATAGTAAAACACAGAGAGAAATTAAGGTGCTGTCTGCCTAAACTCCTGCAGTAGTTTGCATAAGTATTCACACCCATTTAACTTTTCTAAATATATTACGTTACAACTAAAAATCTCATGGTTTTTTAATTCAATACAACATTAAAACGGTTGTGCTTTATCGTGACAGAAATAGTGAACGGATGAAAATTTGCATTTTGATTAAATTATTCTTTTGAAGAGCTATTTCACTACATATTCTGGATTTTCTGGTGTTTCTTTACCAGTTTGAAACATCCGGAGCCGTTTTCTTTAACTCTTCTTTTAAAGTAGCTCAATTTTATTAAGATTTAATAAGAGATCAATAGCATGGTCAGATTGGTTAAAAGTTTCTATCAAGCAAAACCAGCTGATTGCATCCAGTCACTGACTTGCAAGACAGGCTCCTCCTGGATGAGCTTATGGTCACAAGTTGTACTTTCATTTGTGACTGATAATCTATCATTTATTTATCATTATCAATATATCTACTTTAACCAATATACATTACAGAACATCTTGGACTGCGATAGCTTCCTATGATAGTAATATATAGGGTGAAACATTTAATGTGGCAAAGTGAACACCTGTGTATTCGTTAATAAACCATTTATTATACATGTTTGCTTTGAACTGAGTTGTTGAAAAACTTATAATATTGTGACATTCGCCATCATTATTGCAATTCTACTGTTAACCTCTGAAGTTGGTTGGTTGCCCTGGATTTTATTTGGTAATATCTGGGGGAAATGGGTTGAATCAGGTTTTTTCTTTTTTTATTCAAACAATTTTTAGATTTTTAAGGCATTGAGAGAAAAAACATCCTTTTATACTTTAGCTTGTGCTTTATAATTACACAGTCTGTAGTCACAAAATCTTGTAAAACATATTAAAGTTTGTGGTAGTAAGATGACAGAGAGGAAATTTTTCACTTTTATCAATGTAATTAAATGCAGGAGACCTCACACTGATTCGTGCTCAAATGTCATGCTTTATCTTTGTTTTTCCACCTCATTTCTTGATTGTAACATTTTACCAAACAGTATTTTTGTTTTGGTTTTGATGACTTAATGCAATTGCATGATGAGAGCCATTTTTACCATCTTTTGAGTTTGGTCACACTATTGTTTAAGTTGACATGAGGTTTTTAAACTATGCTTAAATGTGTATACTTACAGGATACTTTCACTTATAAAATTCAGCTGGCTAGGACACTCGTAAAGTTACAGATTTCCAGTCAAAACTGATCTAAGTTAGTTCAAATAACAAATAAAACAGTGTAATATTGATACCCTGTGCAATAACTGTTTCTCTATATTTGACACCCAGTGCAATATACATATATACAAATATAAATATCTATCTATATAAACTCTGATGTAAACACCCTATGCAATAACCCGGTATAATCAAAAACTGTCGTATGCGGACACACTGTATATATCCTATGCACCTCTTTCCGGCACCTTCTTCGCCTTTGACTATTTGAACTGATGTAACGAGTAAATTTCTCCACTGTAAGATCAATAAAGTCAATCAGTCAATAATGGAGCTTTGTACACTCACACAAAAAAAAAATCAAAAGCCAGATTCAATGTTGTGTTTTTTTTTTTTGTTTTTTTGGAACTTACAGATATACATTGGATTCATTTTAACAGGTTTAAAGTGAGCAAATCAAACCCTAAAAGCTGGTAGTTTTTTTGATAGTCCTGTCTTGTTTTGCAAACATTCCTCTTCAGGCAGTGCTGCAAAGTGTGGCGGCGAATTCATCCCAGAAAGTGTTGTCCTTCACCACCACCACCTTGGAGGACATTCTCAAGTCTTTTTCTGAAATCAGTGTTATCCGTGTGGCCAGTGGATACCTGCTGATGGTAAGAGCTCAGCCAGAACTAAAGGCAAAACTTTTATAGTTTCCCTTCAAATAAAATAAGTGGCATAAATGGTAGATAAAAGCAAAGAGAATGTAAATTATTATTTTTCTGTCTGTGCCCAGCTGGCCTATGCATGTCTGACTATGCTGCGGTGGGACTGTGCCAAGTCCCAGGGTGCCGTGGGGCTAGCTGGCGTCCTGCTGGTAACGCTGTCTGTGGCGGCCGGTCTGGGCCTCTGTTCTCTCCTGGGAATCTCCTTCAATGCTGCCACCACGCAGGTAACTCACACACATGATGGAGGGCAGCTTCCCTTCAACCAGCAGTCAGGAGGGTCAAGTTATTGTTAACTAGATATACGGGATATGAGCTGCTCCAGTCCCTGTTTCTGTGGACTTCAGTCTTTTTTAGGTTCTCCTGACTTAAGTCAAAATGTCACAATGAGAGACATACTATTAGGCCAATATTCACATAACTACTAATGCTTCAATCTGTTAAATCTATAGGAATTTAGAGTTTATGCATGAGGGCAGTGGTCTCTATGACCAAGTGGAAAGTAATCATCTATTATTTTTTTATTAAACTTGTGCAATTATTTTATTATGTAATATTTTAGTGTAGCTTTCCCAGCAATAAACTAAGCACACAATACTTTAAAGCAACACATTAGAAAAGATCAAATGATCATCTGTTATGTCAGACCTTTGACTTGATAAGAAAAAAACTGATGTTTCTTCACATCTTTGATATCACCAGCAACAAAAAATGAGAATGGAAACTATCAAGATGTTAAGTCAACTTGTTATATATTTGACGAAAAGAAATATAAAGCTAAAAAATTTCAAGATTTTTGCATATTATTTTTCTATGTTTGACCATAGGGAATCAGTCGGTCAGGCTTATTGATAAAGTTTATTTTAAACCATAACAGCCTAATGAGAATGAAGAGTTATCACGGAGTCTTAAAAAAGACTCAGGGTTGAGTTCTCAGTACAATTGCCTTTCTGGGTGCTTAAAATCTGGAAAAGATACTAAGCAGTTGTATATGTGTTGGTGGCCTTCTGCAGGTTCTCCCCTTTCTTGCTCTGGGAGTTGGTGTGGATGACGTCTTCCTTCTCGCTCATGCCTTCAGTGAGACCGGACAGAATAAGAGGATCCCATTCGAGGTGAAGCAAAACATCCCTATTTACGCTGCTCCTTCTCCTTTTATGTCTTATCTCCTTTGAGGAGGAATGTGTGAAAGCCTGTCTGTGCCTGTGAAGTAACATCGGACAGCTCATGTGCCACACACTTAGCCCATTTATCTAAGCAATGCCTCGTAGTTTTTTTTATCTCAAAGCAATCTCTACCCTTTTATGCTAAGTATGAATGTGCATGCACTTTTTTTTTTCCAAATGAAATGTGGTCTGTATGTTTCAAGTGATATGAGGCACAGATTGTAACATGCAGAGTGTATCTCCTCATCTTCTCATGGGACGTAATTGTTTGGATTTTGAACTGTTCATCTTGAGGCATGTATTTGCTTGTTTTTGTTTTCTGCTATTCCCCTCCCCTTCAAGCTCTCATCATCACCCCCCCAAAGCTTCCTTTGTGTATCTGAGATGAAATCTAAACAGAGCTAAACTTGATCTCTGCTCTGACTAACAGAAACACACATACATTTTATTTTAGTTACTAACCCTGATCTTTACTTAAACCATTACCTATATATTCCTCAACCTTACCTTAACCTAAAGTAAATCAAACCATACCTTTAAACCAACTCTCTAACATTGTGGGTCTACCTCATTAGGATCAACCTTTAGTCCCCACAAGGCCTGTTGATCCTCAGAAAATTGTAAATATACTGAGAACAGTCCTAAATAGGTGACATATGCAAGTAAACACACACACACACACGGATGGACATGCCTACAGATGCTCCCTGTGTGATCCTGTACATCTCTAGATCTTTACCTAGTTAGCCAAAAACCGTCCAGGTTTGTTTGCATGTGTGTATCCCTCCTCATTTTGTGGAAAACAAAAATTCTATTTCTGGTTTTGTTTTCGCACCTTAAAGCGAGGCAGACATGCCCTGGAGAATTTTCCAAGCACTTTGGGGCTTCAAAAGGCATTGCAATCACTGTCAGTCAGAACGGTTTAACTAAATCGTTCATAATGTGGTGCGTTACACATCTACCGCGGGCTGAGAGCTGATCAGAGGTTTAATAGCTTTTCTTTCCATTTTGCTTTGCTGCTTCCGTCTCTGACAGGACCGTACGGGGGAGTGTCTGAAGAGGACAGGGGCCAGCGTGGCTCTCACCTCCATCAGCAACGTTACGGCCTTCTTCATGGCTGCCCTCATTCCTATCCCAGCGCTTCGAGCTTTCTCTTTGCAGGTACGCTCAGAGCAGCCAGTGTGAAAATGTGTGCATGGGAGTAAGTAAAGCTCCTGTAATCATTGCCATTAGATTTCTCCAGACTATTGTTTTATTGATTTCATTCATCAAACTGAAGGAACTGGTGTGTTTTTCCTTACATCCACCCGCCCCTCTCTCCCTCCTTCTTTGAGACTGTCAAGCGGTGGTCCCGGTCTCTGTCCAGATTGTGGCCGGCTCTGTGTAACTGAATCCGATTGCATGTGCGAATGGGTGTTCTTGAAATGCCTTGCTTTGGTTTTGTGTGCAAGAGCTGAGCAGAGGCCCGTATAGTCTGTGTGGGAGGCTTGAAAAGCAGCAGACGGTCTAGTGTGTGTGTGTGTGTGGGTGCGCAGAATGTGTGTGTGCGCATGTGTGTGTTCCCGCTCTAACACCGGGAGAATCAGAGGAGAACTCTGACTTCTCTAACATCTGTCAGTAATTATAGACGTCACCAGAGCAGTTTCTAACCAAATGCCTCCAATAATCACAGACTTGTGAATGCATTTGAAGGCTCTCGGTCATGACTATACTGTACAAAGTTAAAAGGAGAATAAAATATTCCTGATTACCTTTTTTAAAAGTCAAAATAGTTCCAGCAGTAGTGAAAGTTATTGAAATGTGTTTGAAAAACACAGCAGCTTACTGTTTGGGTCAGTAATAGAACACTGGCTATAAGCCAGTGGTGTCACAGTGATGGGTCTATTATGAATGATTGCTTTGCTAAAACTATGACTTCATTAAATCTGGTAAGATGTTTGTCATTATTGTTGAGTAATGCAGGTGCACTAAGATCCTGTAATCCAAAATCCTCTAATAAAATGTCAGCGTCATGTCTGTTATGGTGATTAAGTATCTTGCTGCACTACCATAGTTGCAGTGGCAATATTTTGGTTTTGCAAAACTGAATGAAACATTCCTGCACCACTTTTAAAACTAAATTTTATTAACAGGGGATTTGGTATAGATGGTAGGATCAGTAAAGATAAGCAGTGCAAATAATTGTTCACCTTGAAGAATCTATGCCTGTATGCCACACCTCACTAATGATTGTAGATTCTGCTGCTCTTCTGCTTGTTTTTCTTTTTTATGGTATCTGGAATATCAATATTAAGAGAAAATTTTGAGTCAAACTTCTGCATTTGTTTTTTCTAAATCTTTGACCTGTCCCTTTTTTCTGTTATTATTCAGTAAGAATTATAAGAACTAGTGCTTTGTTTAGACATAAAAACAGTTCTTTTGCTCAAAGTCTGATTATTCTGATTATATAAGTATTCAATAATAGCTCCAAGCCCTAAAACTGTGCTGCATTGTAGATTGATGCAAGGTTTTGCATTGAGTTAAAACAGACACACAATGGATCTGTAAATTAAAGCATAAACAAACTATTATAATTTGCACATGTAGGTATTGGTTATATTCCAGTGACTATTGTAGCCCCCAACCTTTGGTCCACAGCCTTAACGCTCCTGGAAAAATTGGAGCAAATCAGTAGCTCCATGGATAAAAAGATTTTTGGAATTACAGATATTTACTATGCAGATAAGGGCTTATAGCAGCTCTGAGATATCACACCAGAGATAAAAACTAAAGATGGTTTGACAGAAATTGCTCTTTAATTCGGAAATTATGAAAGAAATATTGATGTGAAAGTAAGGATAGATGAAGTAGAGGTGGAGCGAGTAGATACAATAAAATTCTTTGGTGTGGTTAACTGCTAAAAACTAATATTAAATATGTTAACACTAAACTATCTGGAAGCAATTTTCAGTAAAGCAAAAAAAAAAAATTAGAAAGCACTAAACGTTCTCTACCATTTCACAGATTTTTGAAAAAAATATGAACTATTTTGCAGAAGTTTGGGATAACATCTAAGGGATATCACTCAAACTGCTATGCACAGTGCACAAAAGATTCATCAGGAAAGCTTATGAGGGTAGCCATCGTGACCATGCTAATCCATTATTTATCTTTGCTTGCTTAAGTTTTCTGATCTGGTACAATTTCAAACCCCACAATTGCTGTATGAAAATAGAAATAAACAGCTGTCAGACAGAATACAAAAACTTATTGAGAAAGGGTTGATATGATTACAAAAAAATGTACATTTCAATAAATACAGCAAAACGTGGAAGTAACTCAGTATCCAAGCATGGCTTTATGAAAAGGCTTAAACTGGTTTTAATATATGACTGGTCTTAAGATAGATGGATAAAGTGGAGTTAACATTATGGGGCACACTTAGTCACTGTACACGGGTGAATACATTGATGTATACATTTTGCAATGGTTGTGGTAATATAGCCCATGGGTAATAATTGTTTTATTGAAGTTGTTTGTGGGCACCTGTGAATGATTATATGAAGCAACTGAAGCGCCAACTTATTAAACTAGCAGCACTATTTTTCAACGTCAAAAGTAATTTACAGCACTGCATTACAAATTTCTGTGCATGTGACAAACATCATTGAACTCTCTTGATATTCCTGCTTTTTTGTTTTTTTTTAATTATTTTTTTGTTTAATTAAGAAACATTTCAAATAGATTAGTTTATAGTAAATTTTAAAATACAAAGAAATCCATCATGACTTTAAGGTTGCAGCAATCAATCACTCATTAGTGTGCTCAGCAGTGTGGGGGTTGGTGATCAATGTGTGTGTGTGATCAGCTGCAGCTAAAACTTGTGCTGCAGTTACTTCATCTGTACCCATCAATTGTTATGTTGTTGGTCACAGGAGCGCGCAACACGTCCCGCTGTAGGGGACGAAGTAGAGTGACCCAATGTCCCAATTTGTATGAGACTGTGACGAATTTTTACTTCCATCCTGTTGTCACAAAAATCCAAACAATATCTGCATTTGACTGGGTCAAATTATAAAAATAAAATAAAATACAAAAGCAGACAGGGTTCCTAGATGTAAAGCAAGAAGAGCTGCAGTTATTTTCACAGAGCTGCGCCAGCTGTCATTCAGAATACAAGGCAATTCTCCATGTCATGGCCAACATCCACAAGATGCTCTTAAAGTAGAACAGGTAAAAGATTTTATTAACTATCAGTTAAAAAAAAATATGATAGAAACTACTTAATACAAAAGGAAATGAAACCATTGCAACGTTTTCAGTATGTTTTATAGCTGAGAGAGGCTAGTGAAACGTGATTCTCAGAGAGCTTTCTTTAAAGTTTGCCAAACTTATTTTTACATATTAAACAGAGGGGTGCTCGATCTAAAGAAGCGATGTTAAAAGTCAGACGCATAGCTGTTAAAGCCTCACATCGTCTCTCTTAAAGAGGATGATCTTTTATTTCCAGGTGAATCATCTAAATTAGTGGTCCTCCTAATTGTCAGTCATTCTGGTGATCTGTTTACGTAAAGCTGTCCTACATGCTCACCCCGTCAGCTATATTTTTCTGCTCCTGCACATTTTCAGATGTATATCTGCGGTGAGCTACAGTTTCATTAATTCATTGAAGCTCACCTTTCTCACCGCGGTTCTTTGAAACTGGGCGAGGGTGGTAAGAGAAAAGTGTGTACGAAGTGTATGAGAAGAAAAGCCTCAAAATAGGCAGATATATCCTAGAATGCTTTGCACGGAGGGCTCTCTTCGCAAAGCATTATGGGATTTGCTGTCACAGCAGTGACAGCGATGACTAATAACAAAGATGGTGCAGGCGCTGTGCTGTGGAGAAGTTGCATGACCAACGGAGCAAAAAAACAGTGATCATCTGTCTAAACGGTAAGTTAACTGAGCTCGCGATTTAGTCCCCGCTCTATATAGTGATTTAGGGCGGCCGTTCGGACACAGTAATCTTGTATGAACTATGAGAACAGCAACTTTTAAACAGAGCGTACAGGAGGAGACATGGGCTAATGCATGCTCTCGCACGCGCATTTTTATTAATTTTTTTGGAGTGGAGGAAGCGGACTCTATAAAAATTCACAAAAATCCTCCACAATACCTTTAAGTATCATTGTTGTCTCACATTTGTTTTTCTACCATATTGAGAGTAGTTTAGCAATCTGTGTGCACACACTGCAAAACATAGTGCACAGTTTAGTAACAACATAGACGTTTCATATTTCCGTTACAGCCTGACAGCCTCAGAGCTGCAGCATGCAAAAAGAAAGACATCCGGGTTAAAAGTGCCTCTTCTTACCCAATGATTGTTTCTACCACCCTACTGCTACTGATGATCTCTGAGCTATTTCATCTGCAGTTCCTCTTCTAAAGGCAAACTTTCATTGCAGTTTTTATTGATAACATAATCCACTTCCTTCATACTATCTTTTTTTTTTTTTTTTTTTTTTAAGAAAGTTGGACATTTTGGTCATCCACAAAAAATAACAGCATTGGCTCAACCTAGATACATAAGCTTCTCACATTACGGTCAGACTGAATCCTGGAAATAATTATGTAGACCAGATTTGATCTCATAAATGTTTTCAAACCTAAGTAGCCCATCTGCATAAGTAGCCACGTGCTTACTTCAAGCACGCAGCTTATTGGCACACATAAAAAAAGACTGGGTAGAGCCAAACAAAGCCCCTGTGTGAGTTGCGGATTTCCCTCCCTGCAATATGCAAATGAAATATACAGTGCTCTGCTGTTTTTCTCCATATCTGCTTTGTCATTGTGTTAACTTTATTCGTGACACTCAACATATCTTGGATGGAAAAAACAAAGTTTTACTTTGTCATTAAATTGTCACTGTCATAAGTGGATCTTTTATTTATAAAAATTGAAATTACATTAAATTACATTTGGGGATGAAAGGGAATGATATTATTTTAGGCAAAAAAGTATATGTTTTGTATTATTCCCATAAGCGACAGATTTCACTGTGAAAGATGATGAAATTCGTCTTTCATGGTTTTCTGCGCCTGGGGCTCCAACTCTTGTTCACACAGGTACACACAGCCCAGTGCTGTAAGATGTCGCCACGTTTAGTATATTGCCATGTGTGGATAGATGGCTTTAGTACAGCAAGTCTGTCTACATGATCCATTTACCCTGTGTGTCTAATCCATGCTGCTTCATTTTGTATACTTGTGTACCACACGCACATTGGCATGCCATGCATTCTTTACTCTTCTAGTTTTGTGTACAGGAGGACAGAATTCATAAAGAAGAGCTCATTGTACCTGTTTATTTGCATGAAACGCTTCACCTGACGGATTGATTTATCACTTACCCTCCTTCGCTACTTCATTTTCTCCCTTCAGTATCAATCGCATTCATAACAAACATTTTAAGATGATTCTTTTTCCCACTGGTGGTGTTGGAAAGTGTGTTTTGATGTGTGTGTCTAGTTGGTGTTAGGGTGTGGTTTAAGTAGGAGGTTGTACAGTTTTTAAGCTGAACATTTGTGCATTTTTGTGTGAGTTGTCTGTGCAGCCGCAGTGCCTGCTCATCACCTCAGAGCCCGCGGGCCTCTGGCTTCTTGGGTGGTCTGGCACACACACATGCAATTGTGTGCTTTTCTCTGCTTGTGTGTGTGTGTGTGTCTGTGGCGGTCTGGCAGCTACAAAATATCCAGATTGTGCTCTGGGCAGGGCCCCAACCCCCCAGCCTCTGTGCATCACCTTCAAATACTTAACCACAACATTGTACTGGCTTCTTTAACACATACACATGCCTTGCTTTTTTTCCCTTTTTGTTTCTTGCTTCCCAGTCTCTGTTTCTTTCTTAAAGGAGACACAAAAAACATGTTGAAAGGGAGTTTTTTTTACTTTCGACAATCGTGACTTTTCTTTTTAAGCTGTATGGAGCCTTCCCAGTCATTTTTACAGGCTGTTCATCTTTATAGTTGTTTTCCGCAATTTTGGGCTTTGTGTACTTGATTTTAAAAGTTGGGGGTTCTTTGAAATAAATACTTAAACTTTGCAAAAGTATTAATTTCTCTTTAAACCACAGACCTAATATACTTCACATAAAGTTTTAGATGGACTGACAAACTGTGGCAAAACTGTTTAGTAGAAATAAAAGAATATGTTTAAAATTTATAAACCTTTCTACAGATTTTCAACTGGATTTAAATCTTAAGCTTTGACTCGGCCGTTTTCTAATTCAAGCTTTATTTAACCGGGATAGTCCCAGTAAAATGTAAAGAGTTAATAAAAAATAATTTTTTTTCCAAGTTGGCTGTCTCAAAGGTGGCAACAAATAAAAGACAAATGTTATACAATTCAAATAGAAAACAGAAAAATATGGATAATTGAGAACAGGTTATTGACTCGGATTTAAGAAGTTGACGTTTGTAAGTTAAAAACACTAAACAACGAGGTGCTGAAGCTAAAATGTTGTAATTTGGCCCAGATGCAACCTTTTTTTGCCTAATTCAGTCCTAGCAAAAAGGACAGAAAGAAGCAGCAAGTTACATGATACATGGATCGACATTTCTCAGTGAATTTGCATGACAGATATAGGCTGGAAGTAGTCAAAGTAAGGCTTCGTAATAAAAAATTAACCTTTAAGCAGCCAAACCAGACCATCCCATCTAAATCTAAATCATATTGGTATTTAGATTTTTTTTTTTTTTTTTTGCAGTTTATAATAAACCTTAGAAAGGTGAGAAAGATAGTCAAGTATCCACAGTGTGACAAAGCAAATATATACCAAAGATCTCTACAGTCCAACACTTATAAAACACTTTCTAAAGATAAATATTCAATCTTAATTTTGCTTTTTGACAAGGTTTCCACATGACATTTAAAATGGAAGGTGATAGGGTCATAATTCAAAATGTCAGATATTTATGTATTTGAAGCAACCCTGCTTCATTTCCTCCAGGATAAAACACTGAGGGGATCTTTAGAAGCAGCTTCAGAATAGGTATCATCATATTTACAGGAGTACGTTGCCAACAGCTTGCTCCAAAAAAACATAAGTGGGAAATTTTCATGCTTCGCAGTGTCAAATATGTCTTTTGACAAATCTGTGAAAAGAGCCACATTGCATGCTTTTGTATTAACAGCAAATATAATGTTGTTCAACACCTTTATCACAGCTGTTATGGTCATATGCCTTTTTTTGGAACCTAATAGGATGCGATAATAGTAGTGTGATATGAAATATTTTTATATTATAAGTTACAACATTCTACTTGACAGACAAAACATTATAACTTAAAATCCTATAAAATAAACACATGAGGAAAAAAGGGGGGATAAAAAGACAACTAAAATAATTTATCTTCAAGAGCTACAGGAATAAAATTGTCAGAGTACAAGGTTGAATCTAAAACAATCTAAGTAACCGAGAGCTAAATGTTTGGGTATTTCATGCCCACTGGTGAGACAACACATGTACATCAGTAGATTAAGAGCTAAAAAAAAATGTACACAATATTTTGTGGCATATTTTCTGGTGGCCTGAGAACCCAAAGCTCAACGAACCCCGGAAAGAACCCCTTATGAAAACACTGGAGATATTTAAAAGTGAATCTCCTCACCTCTGTGCGGCCCCAGCTGTGTGGCTGGTCAATCAGTGGCTCTCCTAGAGTGATACAACTTGTTCAAGTTCAGCGGAAACACCATTTGTTAAAAATAGGCTCTGTGTATGCACCTTGAAGCTCTATCTCTCCCATTCTTTTCCCTGAAAAGAGATCACTCAGGAAAAAACTCTTTAAATAACACTTCATAACTTATATGTATTAAATAACCAGCAGACATGACAACAGATTTTGATAGAAACTGTAATCTTACTCAGATCAGAGAAGTTGCTTAGAATATACAGAAGGCAGCTGCTCACCTCTCAGGAAGTGGCGACGATTAACAGTTAAAAAGGCATTTTATACATCCCCAAGTATGCCACATCATCACATCATTACATAATACACGTTAGGAGATGAGTAGACATCCATGGCTCCAGCCTTATCAAAATATTACACTTTTTTCTTAGCTTAAGGACACCGCTCTCACTCCATTTCCAAATCTTCGCCACGTACAGAATGAGGATTATATCCGGACAGAGGAACTGTCTTAATTAGATAAACTATTGTAGAAAACATCCTTTCTGACACGCAACAGGCAGCTAATATTAATGTGCAATAAACTCACACATCATCAATGATAATTATCCTAACACCTTTACCTGGTCAATCACAGATTCTGACTTTTTTGCTAATTCTGGGAGATTGGATATGGGCCTATAATTAGTTAGAACTACTGGATCACCAGCCTTTAATAAGGGGAAAACAAAGGCTGATTTCCACACTGAAGGAATTTCCTGTTTTTCCACACTAAGGTTTAAAAAGATTGCTTGGAGCTTAGCTACAAATTCAGCTGCCACCTCTAAAAGCAAGAGAAGGCTCTAAACTAAAGTTCTCACCAGAGAACACAAGATGAGTTACACAAGGCGCAGCAGAATCAGTTCCCGTAGAAACCGAGCTCGGTCTGAATGCACCTCAGCACTTACATTGTGTCATTTTTAGAAGGCAAATGAAATAAGAGAAAGAAAAATAAGCTTCAAAAGTCAGCCCGAAATATCGGCAGTATATATTGGGATCGGTTGGGCTAATGTCAAAATAATCGGTATTGGCATCAGCTTTAGAAACACCTGTATTAGTTGATCTCTGCAACAAACAATAATAATATAGAACTGAATTTCTACAGCTAGTGATATTACAGTTATCTAGATTATCAGTTATTAATTTATATAGAAACAACAAGTGATTAACTATTGTCACACTAAGCTATGGAAGCCCAAGCAGTATATTGATGGGAGAAGATATGAAAACTTAAAATTGATTAATGACCCAGCTCTATTTACCAGAGGTGTAAATATTGGTGGGGCATGAATGCTTTTTAAAACAACTGTATTTTTGCTGCTAATAGGGGGGAGTGTTGGTCTGGTGATTAGAGCAGTGCGTTTGTGCTCCTTAGAAGGCTGCAAGTATCCGGTTCGATCCCTACAGCCTCCACTCTGGGTTCCTGAGCCTAACCCTTAACCCCACACTGCTCCCGGGGCGCCACACAATGACAGCCCACTGCTCCCCAAGGGGATGGGTCAAAATGCAGAGAGTGAAATTCCCCATTGTGTAACAATAAACAGATTTACATTTATAATTGTGCATCTCTCTTGTCTTTCAGCTGTTAGGAAATAAAATCACTTCCTTTTTATGTTTCATGCAGGCCGCAGTGGTAGTTGTGTTTAACTTTGCCATGGTGCTGCTCATCTTTCCCGCCATCCTCAGCATGGATCTTTACCGACGAGAAGAAAGGCGTTTTGACATCTTCTGCTGCTTCTACAGGTAAGATTAGTTCTTAGTTTTCTAAATTATATGGTTTTCTTCCTTTTATCTCCTTTCATGTTTTTTTTTTCCTCTGGGCTTTTTAATCTTCTAAGAAATGGCTTCAGGACAACATTATCCAAACAATAATCCGTCTTTAGTCGGAACCTAATTAGAGCTAAAGTTGTCTCTGTCTGTCTGGCTGTTCAGTCTCTTCACTTTGTGCTTACCTGTCACTGTCTTTATTAGACTCTAGCAGTTTTCCCTCCAGCCCGGGCATGCTTGTTGGCACTGTGGTAGTGCAGATGTGTACTTGCGCTATTATGTTCCATTGTTGGATTTTACCACTATATTTCATGCAGTTGGCAGACAAAGATCCCAAATGCAAAAAGGCTGAAAAATATTTCTAATTGATGCATTGTGGGTTTTTTTTTATCTCAAGGAATTGAAGGTTATACTGCTTTTAATTCCCCATTTGGTTTCTCTTCTGTTGTAATGGTTTAATTTTTTTTATCCCTCTGTTTACCTGTCCAGCCCATGTGCCAATAGAGTGATACAGATCGAGCCTCAGGCGTACCTGGATGGAGCAGATGCAGGACGCTACAGCCCTCCGCCGTCGTATCGCACGTCCCCCCCTTCCTATCACACCCCTCCCCCAAGCTACAGCAGCCACAGTTTTGCCCAGCAGACCCAAATCACCATGCAGTCCACGGTGCAGCTCAGAACGGAGTACGACCCCCGCACCCAAGCTTTCTACACCACAGCCGAGCCCAGGTCACAGATCTCGGTGCAGCCGATCAACCCAGTTCCGACAAGAAGCAACCACAGCAGTGACTGTTACAATAACAACAACAACATCAGCGGCAGCAGGAACAGTCGTGGCAGCAACGGCACCAGAGGTAACGCCGCCTCCGCCACCTTCGCCCATCATTATCCTGCAGCCACATCCAGCGGCTGCATGGTTCCTCCGGGTGACTCAGCCTCGACGACCAGTCAGACGCCAGAGAACAACAGCTCCACGCGGGACCTGCTGTCTCAGGTCGGAGACGCCTCCATGGGCCTGGGTTGTCTTGAGCCTCCCTGTTCACGTTGGACCTTGGCCTCTTTCGCTGAGAAGCACTATGCTCCATTCCTTCTGCGACCCACCACCAAGGTCCGTTTAGCTTTTTATTACATATTTGTTGTTTTAAAAAATGAAAACAAAGAGAGAATAAATGGTTCAGTTTGGGGTAAAGGTGTATTTATTTCACAAAATCACCGGGGTGATAATTTGAAAGGAAGGGTTAGTCAGAGTGAGTAGATCAGAGGGGGGAAGTCTGGGGTGGGGATTGTGGTCATTTCCTATGTGAGTCACTCACACACTCAGCACGGTCTGACCTCAATCTGGGTGGCCACTCCACTCAGCTAAAGTACATCTGGTGGCCTGTTCTTACCAAAAAGCTTCACAAAAGCATGACTGCTTCTGCAACTTAATGTAACTTAAAATCACACTGCAAACTTCCCCCTTTTTTGGGAGCGATTTTATGTGATCAACACAAACATATTTTTAAAGTAGTCGAGAACACCTCTATAGTTTGGAAAATAAAATCCCAAATTTGTAGCATGTGTGTTTGTTGCCAGCTCTCCAGAGACTCTACTTTTGCTAAAATTAAGTATTTTTTTGCAGATTGAATGAGCAATTTAAACTTTGACCAGCAACATACAGAGTGAGGGAGGTGTGGTAACAGGATTGTCACATCACTTTAGTTTTGTGCGTTTTAGTCTTTTGAATTTAGGCCAATGAAAACTTCATCCAAATATTTGGATCTGTTCACCTGTCATAGCCTGGGAAAACAGGAAAGGGAAATATCTTTCAATAATGTTTTTTCCCTTTTTCACTAGTCTTTGAAGCCCAGAATAGAGTTCACCACTAATACTTGTCATAGCATGGTAGGTTGCAGTTGTCATCCAGTGTTTTGTATTATCAAAACATAGAAGGAACAGAGTCAAAGTTTGGGATATATTTTGTTACCTGGTAGTCTACTATAGAAATCCTCCAGAACTTTATTATTGGCTTGTTTGTGTGTTTTATTCCCTTTATGATTCTGCACATAGGTCAGCTGTATCTATGCTGAGATGAAATCAGATTCTAGTGGACTGTGCAACTCTTGAAAACACTTTTATTCAGAAGTAACAGAGTAAGGGAGGGTGCATGTTATTCTTAGTAAATACATTTCAAAAGCTCAGGCATAATTTTCGTTCTACTTGTAAAGGAGGCACTGATATCTGTTGTTTTAGCTCATACACTGGAAAAAAAAATCTAGAAATAAGTAAAAATTTCTTAAATCAGGTGTATTTATCCTTAATTTAAGTAGGTAAACGAGATAGTTTGCCTATGGATTGAGTTTTTTCACTTTTGAAACAAGATAGTTAGGTAAAATGCACTTGAAATAAGATAATGCAATTGTGTTTTCTTATTTTAAATGTAAATTGTCTTGTTCTGTTGGCAAAATGTCTCTTTTACATACCCAATCCAAGAGCAAATACACTTATTTTAAGAAATAATGACTTACCTAGATTTCGATTTTATCACCATTTATTTTTCTGTTGTGATCATGCATCAGTCTTTCATATTTCTGTCCCTCAGTGACTCCTAATACACAAGGTGCAGCGGTTCTGATTGATTCGTCTGCCCGTCCATCCCTCTGATTCCAGGTGGTTGTGATTATGCTATTCCTGGGCCTGCTGGGAATCAGTCTGTACGGGACCACCCAGGTACGGGACGGCCTGGAGCTGACGGACATCGTCCCCAGAGAGACCAGCGAGTACGACTTCATCGGCGCTCAGTTCAAGTTCTTCTCCTTCTACAATATGTACGTGGTGACGCAGCGGGCGGACTACACCCAGAGCCAGCTTCTCTTACACCAGCTCCACCAGAGGTTCCACAGCGTTCACTACGTGTTGAAAGAGGATAACGGCACGCTGCCCCGCATGTGGCTGCACTACTTCAGGGACTGGCTGAACGGTAAAAATAAACCCCGTTTTCCAATCAGGACTATAGCCAGATGCTAAACAGACTGCTCTCTGTGACAGTTTTAGTTGTCTGGAAATTTGTTTCCAACCGGTGTGTTATTCACACTTTAGTATATAATCAGGTTTAACTTCTTGAGAATAACTGAGGCATGGCACTCATCTAGTTTCTTGTGAAAGAGCTTTGAGATCATAATTTCCCAAACATTTGACATGAATCCACAGCAAACAAGACATCAGGCTGCAGTTTAAAAGGAGGAAGTATTGCACAACAGACACTGAGGCCTTGATTAAAACCGACTGTGTCTTGATTGAGATGTTTTAAGCAATACTTTTATTCTTGGCTTTAAGAATTGAACCGCTGAGCGTTCAACAGCATCCATCCATCCATCCATCCATCCATCCATCCATCCATCCATCCATCCATCCATCCATCCATCCATCCATCCATCCATCCATCC